TCCGTTACCAGACAAAAAAAAAAACGTTTGAAATTGAGAAAAATGGATGAGACAATTCTTATATATATATTTATAAGGTACTCCCCAGTCCCACATAATTTGTCCCTATTTTTTATTTTCGTTTGTCCCACATAACTTGTCATTTTTATTTTTGAAAATCTAATTATGCACTTTAATCGCATTTTAAATTTTAAATTTTATAATTTTTTTAATTTTAATTAAACTATTTATTTATTTTAATCTTAATTTATAATTATTTTTACTAATATATTTTTTAATTACTTACTAATTATATTTTACCTAAATTTTTGTGTCAACAGTAATACACCTATATTAGGTGGGACGGAGGAAGTATGTTTTTAAGGGAGAGATAGGCGATATGGTAAGTGGTAAGTGGATGCGTGAGTGGGGAGTGCAGAACATTTATTGGCCATTAGCTCACGGGAATCATTTATTGTAACTATATGCTTATTTATTACAGGGATACATGTTTGGTTGGGCAGCTCCTACTTCTCATTCTCATCAATACATATATATTGTTGAAATAATAAATATTTATCGTATACTCCATCCGTCCCATATTTATATATTTATTTACTTTTTACATGGAGTTTTAAAAATATTAGTATTATATTGGAATAAAATAAAAATAAAGCTAAAAAGACTAAATTACTCTTATTAGTATTGCATGATATAAAAGTAATGATATTTGTGTAATATATTATACATTGAAAATGTATTTATAATGTTAAGTAGATGGTATAATTACTAAAAAAAGAAATTGTTATTTTTTTATAGGATGAACCAAAATAGAAAAATAAATAAATTATTAAGGGACGGAGAGAGTATATTATTATCGTACTGTCAATTATATTTTATATATTGTATGTATTAAATTAACATGCAATACATACTTACATAAATGGTGATACATAAAATTATATGATGTTTCAAACTATTCATTAACTAAGCTACTAAAATTTCAATAATCACTAGGCTTGTTGAAAGCCACAAGATTTTTTTTCTTTTTGAAAAAAATGAATATTCAAAATTTATTACTACCTCCGTCAACAACCAATCTATCCATTTGATTTTTGTATGCTAATATTTGAATATTAATTATTATATCAAAACGTAGTATAAATCAAAGAAAAATGACAAAAATGCTTCTATTGGTGTCTTATAATATTAATGTAACGATATTTATACAAAAAATTCTATAAGGATATTTTTAATGTTAAAAACAATGACGTCAAATGCAAATTGATAGATTGGCGGTGGACGGAAATAGTATTTACATTTTTATATTTAATAATATTTCTTTGGTAACATCAAGCTATGTTACTCTTTCTGTTTCATTCAAATAGGTTATTTGAAATTTTATACTCCCTATGTCTCATACAAAGAGTAACATTTATATTTTGCACGTAAATTTTCGAATATTCAGTATTATATTGGGTTGTAATAAAAAAAAGATGAAAATACCCTTATTAGTATTGCATAATATAAAAGTGGTGGCATTTATGTAATATATTGTAAGTTGGAAGGGTATTTATTATGTTAGGTAGGTAATACAATTACTAAATTAGAAAATGGTATCTTGTTTTGGGACGGACGAAAATTGAAAATGGAACCCTTTTTATGGGACGGGAGATGTATTTGTAATTTAAATAAAAACTAAAAATATTTTGGTATTAATGCATAACTATTTTTATTAAAATAAAAAATAAATATTTTTGAGTGAGACAAACAAAAATAATAAAAATGATATTCTGAGTTGAAACTAAGAAAGTATTATATATACATATATTTAGATGTCTTATTCAAATATGTCATTTTCATTAAAAAAATAATAATAATAATAATAAAATAGAATAGCAATTACATCTTAAATAATTCAAATCAATTGCTTTAGCATTTTACTTTTAATGATTTCCAAATTTTAATTTTAATTACATTCCATTGGAATCGACAAAAATAAGAATGACCTAGATATTCGAAAATTCAACATAGATATGATATGAAAAATCAAACTCAAGTAGGGTCGAGCTGAAATTTTTAAAAATAAAAATATTTTAAATTTAATATTTTAAATAATAGTTTACTCTATTACGGTTGTGTTTGTTTGGAGGATTGGATTTTGAATTGAGATTTGAATAGTAAAAATTTTGAATTTGAATAGTTGTATGATGTGATATAATTATGTGTTGATGTGATATTTTGAATGTAAAATTGATTTTTAGTATAATATATATAAAAAAAATAGGTGTTTAATTTGATGTTTTTGGGAAAAAATTTTTTGGATAAATAGTAGGATTTTGTCAAAATCCTACAAACAAACACAACCTACAACTATTTTATTAACTAAATTCAAATTAAATAATTTTTTAATAAATAGTTTCTTAATAACCATGAAAAATAAAAGTTGGATGGATGTATTTATTATAATATATTTATAATTAATTTCAAGTATTTGATAACTTTGAGATCGTGTGGGGATTGGATTTTAAATCCACTATTTATTTATTTATGTATTTTTTTTAAAAATATCAAATCAAACACCTATTTTTTATTTTTTATTTTTTATATTATACTAAACATTAATTTTACATTAAAAACATCACATCAAACTTGTTTATATCACATCATATAACTATTCAAATTCAAAATTTTTACTATTGAAGATGATATTTTATATTGAGCGGATGTTTTTGGATGAATATTTAGAGATACACAAAAATAAAAAATAAAAATATTTAGAAGAGAACAAATTAATTCCTTTCCTTTTTTTATGTTTGCATTTTTTTGAAATATTTTTAAAACAATTGTTAAATATAATATTGTGTATGAAAATATCTTTACAATTAGTTATAAAAACAATATATGATTTTATTTGATTGTTTGTTGGAAGTTGAGGTTAATGAGATTTATTTAATTAAATTTTAATTAAATAAATATGTAATTAAAATAAATTTAAAATGTGAATATTTAAGTATCTTTAAAATACTATCTATGCATGACAGACATATTATTTTTCCTTTTAAATCCATTTATATTTTTACTAAATTTTTAAATCTATTTAACAAATATAATTTAATTTAATTAAATTTTTAACATTTTATAACCACTAATTTTTTTTTTATTTTTATCTATACAATACACAAATATTTCTATATATAATTATATATTTATACACAATTAACATATCTTAATTTTATAAAATAATTAAATATATAAATATATTTATTTATTAATAAAAACAAAAACAAGAATTGACTTTATCTTAAAATTTATATCTATATATATTTCATATCTTCCTCCGTCCGAATCATATGTATTTATTTATTTTTTGCAAGTGAATTTTAGTATATTAATATTTTATAGATGATATATAATATAAATATAAATAAAAAAATGCCCTTAAAATAATTTATTATTTAATGACATTGTTTGTAATATTGTGTAAAATATAAATATATATATTTTTATTAAAATAAAAAATATTTTTACTAAAAAATAAAATTACAAAAATAAAAAAATAATTACATATAACTCTTTTTTTTTTTTTTTTTTAAAATTAAGAACTTTGTAGGACCGTTAAGTGAAAACAAACAAACCACTAATAATGCAGGTGAGCAAGCATGCGCACGTTGCAATAAATTTAGGATATGTTTGTTTTCGGGAGTAATTACTTATATCACATATACTAATAAGGTTATTTTAGTAATTTCAACTTTATTTCTACTATATGTCAATATAATACTAATATTTTTAAAACTACGTGTTACTTATGAGACAGAGGGAGTAATTATTATTTTTTTATATATAGTAAAAATGGAGTATTATAAAATAAGTAGTGCTAAAAAATGGAACAAAAATATTTTTTATAACAATTCAAAACAGAAAAAAAAAAAAAAAAGGTGAACATATATTTAAATAACGAACATAGTATTTTTTATTGACTTTTTATGAATAGATAAAAATATATACAATATATCGTGTATAATTATATGTATATATTATATATTTTTTTAATTATATTAATGAGCAATCGTGTCACTACAGAATAATTGGATGAACACACCCTCAGTCTAAGTTTGTTGTTTTTTTGGCTATATATATTTTTAAATTTTATTTTTACAATTTTTTATAAAATTACTAGATTAGTTTGTGCTATAGAACATTAAATCAAAAATATTATTCAATTAAAAAGCAAAAAAACAAAAAAACAAAAAAATATGGAAAGAACAAACTAGATGTTTTATTTTATTTTATTTGCATGGTCTCATGAAATTGCGCCAAATCTCTCGTACTTCTAAAACTGTGTCAAATTCTCTCATGGTTTCATAAATTATACGTTTAACTCTTTCATCGGTCCTTATTTAATGGTATTTGATCTAAATGCGCCCAAACTGCGAATAAATTTTAGAATATCAATTTCTAAACCCCTAAAATTATATATATTTATTTATATATATATTTAGCCTAAAAATACTAAAAATAAACTCTTAAAATTTGAGAAAAATAACTATTTTTGAAGCTAAATATAAGAAAAATAAATATATTTATAATTTTAGGGGTTTAGAAATTGAAATTTTAAAATTTATTCGCAGTTTAAGCGCATTTATGTCAAATACAGTTAAATAAGAACCGCCGAAAAGGATTAAACGCAAAGTGTATAAAATTACGAGAAAGTTTGACGCAGTTTTAAAAGTATATGAATTTGACGCAATTGCATGAAATCACGGATAAATTTAATACAATTTAGCGTTATTTTGATTTTATAAATTGAATTGTTGAAGTGTAAGTGGAGTGCAATAAATGGAGTTGGATTTAGAGGCATTAAAGTGATATCTACTTGTCCCTCATAAATGCATGGCCTGCCCTCCTTTTAATGTATTAGTATTTATTGCACAACCTCTTCATCATACATACAATTAATATACATACATACATATATATATATATATAGCTCTCCCTCGCTTGCATTTGCATCACTTGGAATTAATTTCTTTCTTGCATGTTCATGATCTTTGTAGTCTTTAATAATAATAATAATAATAATAATAATAATAATAATAAAAATAATATTTATTGACCATATGGAGTTTACTCAACTTTCTATGTCCGGCAAAGGCAAAGGCAAAGGCGAAGGCGAAAGCATAATGAAAACCGATGGCTTTCTTACGAAGAGGAAATGGAAGTCGGAAGAAGAAGAAGAAGAAGAAAAAGTCGACGTTGATCTTCAACTTCAACACCACCCTTCTCATTGGGAGCAATGCCTCGACCTTCAAGTATACATACGCATTCTTTAATTTAATTTAATTTATTTTTTTTTTTTATAACGTGTCAACCCACATTCTTTAATGTTTTAATTTTATTTTTTAATTTTTTATAACATGCAAATACACATTCTTTAATTTTTTTTATTTTTTTATTTTTATAACGTGCGAACCCATATTCTTTAATTTTTGATAATGTTGGAAGCCGCGGCTGAACTCGCATTCCTTAATTTTTTGTAACGTAGGAACCCGCAACTGAATCCACATTCTTTAATTTTTTATGACATGGGAATGTCCAGTTGAATCCGTATTCTTTAATTTGTTTGCACGGTGGGTAGCTCAAACTATTTTATAATACTCCCTTCCTACCGTAACAAAGTATCAATTTTTCCATTTTAGTCCGTCTCATAACAAAGTATCCATTTCTTTTTTTAGTAACCGTACTATCTACCTAACATTACAAATACCCTTACAACTTACAATATATTACACAAATATCATTATTTTTATATCACACTACTAATGAAATTATTTTAGTCATTTCTACTTTATTCCTACTATATCCCAATATAATACTAATATTTCTAAAACTACGTGCAAAAAATAAATGGATATTTAGTTCCGGGACGGAGGGAGTAGTAATAATTATTTTTTCTTCTTCTTTATTTACTATTTACTATTTCAATTTTTTTTTTTTTTTACAATATAACACCCAATACTGATTTTCATACAAAATATCATATCTAACAAGTAATTCATTGTAGAAACTTCAATACAAGAGTAAAAAAGAAACTTTTACGTTTCTTATTTAAAGTATACTATTCATACTATCCTAAGTTCAATACTTATATATAATACTTTTCCTTACCATGTATGCTCAATGTGACCTAGTTACAGAAGGAGAGATTAAAATAGAAATTACAAAAACAAAATTGATGAATTATTAATACGATCATGAAATGGATAATTAAAAATAAAGATACAAAAGTTAAAACAGTTAATTATGTTATCACTACTACACAATTTATTCTCTTTTTTTTTTTCTTGCGTCTGTTAGTTAAATTTATTTTATTATTATATTTGGAAAAGTTAAAAAGTTACTATTTAATTATTATCATTCATTTAACACTTATTTATAATAAATACCACTAATTTTATTACATTCTCTCTTCATTCTCTTTAATTACTAACTAAATTTTCAAAAAAACCTCAAACTATTTTTTTAATAAAATATTTATTTTTTTTAATTCGCACCAAACCCAAATAAACTATTAAACTATTTCCGACTAATGGAGTATATATTAACTTTGATATATATATATATATATAATATCCTATAGACAATTTTCAATTGCATTATTACATAATAAGTTATTTATTGTACAGTCAAAATATGTGATTAAATATCAATTTAATTACATTGATTTCATCCGTACAGTCAGGAAAAATGTACTACGTGGACAACAAGACTTGGAGAAGTACAAGTAGCAGCAAACACTACTTTGAGGCGGATCATCGTCAAAAGCTTGACTTGGAGCTCAACATCTCCACCACTAATAATAATAACAACAACAACAACGTTAACGACGACATGGTTGCCTTAGCCTGTGCGAATTGCCATCTTCTGGTCATAGTGAGCAGGTCTTCTCCCTCTTGTCCTAACTGCAAGTATGTCCACTCCCTTCAGTCATCTTCATCCTCCAAACCCGCTTATCGTTGGCCCATCTGATGACTCATTGTTGTTTCATTTTCCATCTCATCCCATCACTTATATAATTAATTGCTTATTATATAGGTGAAATTGTTTATAACTCTCACGTGATTTTGAAATTCAGCGTAAAATTTCTCCGTACTTTCAAAATTTCATAGCACGTCCTTATACTTTAAAAAATGTTGCATAAAATCCTCTGCCATGATACTTGTCTTTTGTTACGAGGAAATGATTTCATATTAATGTATTTTGCATGGTGAGGGGTTTCATGCAACGTTTTTAAAAGTATAAAGGGGCGGCGTCACACAAATTTTAAAGTAAAAAAGGGATTTACGCTGAGTTTCGAAACCATAAGAAAATTATGGACAATTTTGCTTATTATATATATGCATGTATGTATGTAAATATATTATCGTGGTACGGTCTAGCTATATGCTTTATGCACCTTTAAATTTCGCTTACATATTATCGATCATGTCTCGTTATAGACTTATATATCATTGAAACCCTAATAAGATTGAGACTCTATTTAAATACCCATTTTTGAAAGTTTTGATGCTATTTATTAATATTATTAGTATTTTTCTCTTAAAAAATATCGCATTATTAAATATGTTAGAAATTGAACTAATAAACAGAACCATTAATTTCAGAAAGATAAATAAGCTAATTAGTGCTGATTATCCAACACTCAAACATATTATATCTAAGTACACAATGTAAGAAGGCAAGGGTAAAATCAATCGCCTAATCGCTCAAACACATGAATACACAATGATCAATTAATGTTGTTTTACAGAAAATGCAAACAATCAACATCATATTGTCTCAATCAGTTTAAGAAATGAATGAAATTAACAAGCATTAATGTAGTGAACTAAAACAATCGAACCAGGCTTACAAGAGGAAAGAAGATGCATAGAATAGACACGAAAAATGTGACATGTATTTAGGAGATTCGGGAAATAGTGGAGTAGAAAATCGATGGAAATTGAATCGAGAATGAGAGAGCATAATGAAGGAGTGATGCCTTGCAAAAACAACGAAATAAAACCCTAAATTGTGTTTATCGTGGATTTTGATTTTGGATTTAGATTTTTGAATAGTTATTTGATTTGATATAACTTGATGTAAATATGCTATTTTTAATGTAAAATTAATTTTCAAAATAATATAAAAAATAAAATATAGTTTTTAATTTAATATTTTTGAAGGAAAAAAAAAATAATAACTTAAGCTTAATCTGAGTAAAGAGTAAAATAATTGCAAAACTTATGTCCATTGGGCCTAAAGAATATCAAAGGACCAAGGCCCAATGATATATTATTGATGAGTGTTCTGGCCGAACTTAGAGATTTTAAGTTACGAAATAATTCAAATTACTACTTACAATGAGTTTTTGCAGTCAATGGCGTGAAATAAATACAAATTTGTAAAACAAAATTTAATTCTTACATTAGTAAAATAATGTAACATGAGGTCTAATGAGTGAATACCGCATGAATTTAAAAAGACAAGTAATTGTGCATCAGATGTATATGAGTAAACTGGTTGGTTATATGGGTGACATGAATTTTACAAAGTGATGTGAGATTTATATATATAATGGGGTAAGAGTTAGATGGAAACAATGAGTATAAGTGAGAGTGAGTTTGTGAGTGAATATATTCATGATGTGAAGATGCGATGTGAGGTACTTGTGTTTCTTATTTGTTGCCATGAGCAATGGCTAGAAATTTCTAGACTTAATGTATGGGTTGACGATATTATGTTACTGGATCTATACTTATAATTTTAAAATGGCTAAAGAATTGAAGGTGATCACATTCATTTAAGTTTAATTCATGACTTGATTGATACTTGACCTTAGGATTTATAATGAAGTTCTAGATTTTAACTAAAAATATTATTTAAAAGAAATGTCACTATCACTAAACATCTCTATGATCCGATAAAAAAACATCCATGTCAAGTTAATTATTATTTGAATTGTTTCACTTGTTAACCTATTTATGTGATGTATTTGATTAATCAAGGTTTAACTATGATTACAACTATTGGAAAATGGTGCTCGACCAAACACTCCTGTGAACACCTAAAATAGGGTCAACTTCCGGAACATAGTTATATCACAGTTACAAAAACTTACTGCCAATGATATAAATGCAGAACATCAAAGCAGTAGATGAGGCAAAGTGTTTGGTAACATAGTTCAGTTATAAACCAACCTATATCCGGGAGATTTCAATCTCTGAAAAGTTATAGTATAATCAACCTTGATTATAGTACTAAGTAATTCCAACTCCTTCAAGTCAATCTCCTACCTTGGCCTACCTTAGAATACCTTAACAAGTTCAAGTTGTCACAAACTCATACTTACAACGACTATAGAGGATAGCTACTCAGAATTTGATCATCTTTTCCGGTTGAAACTCCAATAACTTCGATCTCTGACAAACTCTTTAGCGAGTTGCAATGCTAAAAACTCATTAAGAATATTGAGATTAGAATAGACAAGGGTGAGAGCATCGAACCATACTTTCTCTCTCTAAAGAAATCTCTCAAACCCCACTAACAACCAAAATAAGGCCGGCCACGGTTAACTATGCAGCCAAGTTGATGTCCATGCAAAACAAAGCTATTAATTCTTTTTTTCACGCAAATGGTATGGGATGTTTTTGCATTTTTTCGATAATGAGTTGACTACCCCAATTCGACCAGCTTGTATTGCATAGACATCTGAAAAAGAGACAAAAATGAACACACACAAGTATTGCAATCTGTTTGTCTGCAATGGCTGGGATATCTGAAGAAGAGATAGAAATGAATACAAACATCTAAAGAAGAGACATAAATGACGACGGATCCATTTTTCTAACAAGTCATGTGCAAAAATTTCTCAATACCATTCTACAAGAGTTTAAAACTCTTCACTACTCCATATTGAAATTGATAACAATAGGGTGGATTAACTAGAAAAAAACCAACAAAAGCTGCAAGAGAACATCTAACCGCTACCCAAAGCTCAGAGGTGGAATGATGTTCATCCACTTTTGAGGTCAAGACGCAACATCCAGCCTCTACTCCTATGTAACTTTGACAAACCCGATGCTGAGTAGTTTGAAGGGGGTTAGAATGACCTAGGCATCATAATAATCATAACTGACGGTATGAAGATAAACCTATCAACTCGATCAAATTTCAGGTACCACCATTCCAAGAAAATTTGACCTTGAAGCATTCGTGCAATATGAAAAAACATTAGAACTAATATTTGATATTCAACAATTAATTGATCAACAAAAGCTCTGTCTAGATGTAACGGAGTTTCTAGATTACATGTTTGCTTGGTGGGACCCATTGAGCTTCAAACACCACAAAAATAGGGAGCCCCCAGTGCGGACTTGGACCGAACTCCATGCACTCATGTGAAAGAAGTTTGTCTCCCATCATTAGCACCATGAAGTATCGAGGAGATTGTAAAGCATACAACAAGGTCCTCGATCAGTGAAGGATTACTATAAGGAACTTGAAAAACTTCTTTTACAAGATGATATCTGTGAAGATTAAGAGCAAACAATGTGGTGAACATGTACAAATATGTGGATCTCGAGAATATGGTATACTTGGTTATAAAGATAGAAAAGAAACTAAAGCCGAAACGGATGTTGGTAATCCATTTAAACCTTCTTTAATTGTAGGCACATATACCATAATACATCAAAAAAGACGAGGAGGTAGCATGAGTTGATTTGATGCCCCCTAAACCGGAAACTAACACCCAAAAGTCCACCACTCATAATCGAGATGTATTATATTTCAAATGTCAAAGCCAATGATATTTTACCAATCAATGCCCAAATAAAATCACTATGGTTCTTACAACATTCGATAAGTATGAATCTAAATATGAAACTAAAGAGATCAATGAGATTAATTTCTCTAACCAAGAGACAAAAGAATCTACGTCGGAGTCCAATTTGATTTTAGTCACTCTTCGAGCTTTTAACACTATTTTGAATGAGGTTGATGATACTGAACAACAAGAAAATATATTCCATGGAAGGTGTAAGATAGCAATTAAGATATATACTCTTATCATTAATTGTGGTAGTTGGACTAATGTTATTAGTGATCTTGCTGCGAAAAAGCTTAATTTTAGGGTGGATTTGCACCCGAAGCCTTACAAACTGCAATGACTCAATAATTATGGAGAAATTAATATCACCAAATAAGTATGGGTAGAAATCGATCAATAAGGTTACAAGGATGACGTAAGATATGATGTAGTTCCGATGAAAACATGCAAGTTTAGTGCATTTTTAAAAGGCAAAATTTCTATAACTCCCTTGTATAATTTAGTGTATAATTTGCTATTCACATATTTCATTTAATATTAAAATATTAGTTTTTTAGAGACATCGTAAGTTATCAATAATAAGTTATGGTATTATTTTATACTCCCTCCATCCCACATAAAATGTCCACCTTTTCCCATTTCTATCTTTTACACGTAATTTGTCATTTTCTTTTTTGAAAGTATAATTATACACTTTAATCACATTTTAAATTTCACAATGTATAATTTTCTCAATTTTAATTATATTATTTAGTTATTTTAATCCTAATATATAATTATTTTTATTATATAATAATTATTTTTACTAATACAATTGTTAATTACTTACTAATTATATTTTACCTAAATTTTTATATTTAGAGTAATGTGGATAAAATATATGGTTGATATTTTGAATATTTTTAACATTATATCTAGATAAAATATATACAATAAGGATATCATTATAACTAATAAAATTTTATATAATACAAATAAATAAAAAATATATTTATTTATTTTTAATTAACTTAAAACTACTTTTATAAAAAAATGAGGAGTTTTAAATATAGATAAAAATATTTGTTTATTGTGAAAAGATATAAATAAGGGGTTTTGAGTAACTACTACGTGTAAGATGTTAAAAACTTAATTAAATTAATTTATATTTCCTCCGACCCACGAAATTAGTCCAATTTTTCTGTCGACAACCAAATTAGTCATATTTCTTAGGGTGTGTTTCTGCGGCCCAAGTTTGCGCAGAAACACTGTTTGTACACTGCAGAGTTTTAGGGTGACACGCCTGGCCGTGTCTGTTACTCTTTTTTTTTTTTTTTAATTTTTTTAAAAATTATAATAAAAAAATTATAATAATGATAATTGAATAAAATATATATATATTTTTTTTAGAGAATTAATTTTTTTATAATACAAAAAATAAAAATTTATAAATATATATTAGTAGATATAAAATAAATTTATAATAAAATTATACATATTAATACAGATTTATATTATTATATTAATTACCATCAAATCAATACACGATCAAAACTCTCCAAACTCAAACACAAAAGAAACACGTAAATTCAAACTCACTTCAAAATTCAAATAAAAACAAACTAAAACCCAAATTTTCTCACAACCCCCTAAAGAAACACACCCTTAATAACACAATATTTAACATATAATAATTTAAATTACAAACTTAACTACATTCTATTCCATTAATAAATATTTTTCCTTTCTTTGTTTGGTCATACATTTGAGAATTGAGTAAGAAATTTTAGATAATAAAATATCAAAATTTGATATAATATAAATAGATATTTATGTTACATTTTTAAATGTTCAATTAAATTTTGAATATAATATAACAAAATATATAATATATTTGATTGTATTTTTAATTTTAGATATTTTTTATATTACCTGCGAGAAGCGTGTTGACAACATAAAAAAATAAATTTTTTTGTTAAATTTTTATAAGCTTGTAAAATATATATATTGTTTTTTATAAATAATACTAATAATAGAAGTATAAAAAAAATTGTTAGGGTGTTCGATTAAATATTATGGATGAGAGAATATAAATAATGGGATGTTAATTTTCACTTTATTTCTTAAACAAAACAAAAGTTACGGGTGTTTACTTGTGAAATTTTGGTTTTCAATTTTGGTTTTAAATAATAAATTCTAAATTGAAATAGGTGTTTAACGTGATATAAATATATATTGATGAAATATTTTAAATATAAATTAAAGCACCGTTTGAATCGGCTTCTGTAAAGTGCTTTTGGTTTCCACTTTAAAAAACATTCATTCATGCTTGTATGGGCTTCTTCTCGAAAGCAGCTTTAAAAGTGCTTTTTTTTAGAAGCACCTGAGAGTGCTTTTGGAAAAAGCATAAGCAGTTTACTATCTAAATTACAAAATTAACAATAACAACAACAACAACAACAACAATAATAATAATAATAATAATAATAATAATAATAACAACAAATTAATTAATAAAACAAAATAAAAATAAAAATAAAAATAATTCATTTACATAAAATCTAAATATAATTGTATTTTAATTATTAAGTTATATATTTTATTTTAATTAAATTTAAAATTTATGATTGAAAATATCAAATTTTAAAAATTTAAATTTAAATTATATAGTAGATAATTTAATATTTTTAAATATAATTTATAAAGTTAAAATATTTTGTAGAATAGTATTATTTAAATTTATTTAAATTTTTATTTTTCATTTTTATAAAAAATATAAAAAAACATACAAATATAGTTTATAAATAAAATTTAATAGATATATTTTCAATTAGTTTAGATAATTAAAATTTTTAAATATAATTTATAAAATTCTAAATAAATTAAAAAATTTTAATAAACAATATACTATATACATTACTATGTCCTATTTGATAATCTTAACAGTTTAAAAGCACTTTCAACTTTATTATATCTTTTATAATTATTTATCTAAACATAAAATCAAGCCGCTTATTTTTTAAGCTAATCCAAACGGATCCTAAGTTTTAGTATAATACTCACTCCGTTCAGCAGGGATGACCCCTTTGGGTGGGACACAATATTTTTAGATAATTAGATTAGTAAGTTATTAATAATAAGTTATTATATTATTTTATTAATTTTTATAAAAAATATTGTTGGTATTTAAATATTTTTAGGATTATATTTCAATAAAATATATGCAATATGTATATTATTTTGTAGATAACAAAAAATTATATAATACAAATAAATAAAATATATATTTATTTTATTTATAATTAACTTAAAACTAATTTTATAAAAAAGGAGAAGTTTTAAATATAGATAAAAATATTTGTTTTATTGAGAAGAAAGATAGAAATAAATGAGTTTTGAACGATTAAAAATTTAATTAAACTGAGTTATATTTGTTAAATATATTTAAGATGAATAAATTTACTAAAAATATAAAGTAGTCATCTTTGATGAAATGAACAAAAAAAAAAAAAAATGTCATCTGTGGCGTGTGACGGAGAAGTATAATAAATGAAAAAAAAAGTGTTTCATTTGGTATCTTTAAAAAAAAATTGAAATAGTAAAACTATTTTAAAATCTCACAGGTATTATATTTTTATTGTTAGTAATTAAAAATTATTAAAATATTATTAAAATATTTAATTGTATTATTAACATATTTAAATATATTATAGAGAAAGAATGTATTATTATAAATTTAGCCATACTCCTTTGTATATTTACAACGAAATGAGACCAAATTTGAAGAACAGAAAAAAAGTTATTAATAATTGTGATTATTATTTTGTGAAAGAAAACAAATTCATAAACTTTTCTATTATATTTATCTTTATTATTAGTAATGTGGTATTATGTTTCATTTTTCATGTCTTCTTTTAATTTTTTTTATGTAAAATATTATTTAAATTAATTTTTTTTATAGTGTTTTGTTTAATTATGTTTATATAATTAAAATTAGTTTTATTTTTTTCGTTACCTACTATTTTACAATTGATAAAAATATTTTTTTTTTAAAAATTAATTTCAAAATATATAATATTCAGCCTAAAAAAATAAAAAATAAAAAGTAAAAAAGAAAATATTTATAATTTTGTTTTAATACTTCATTAAATACAAATAATTAAAATAATAATGAATTATAAATATTAAACAAATTAATCAAATTAATTAATCATCTAACACATCATTTTTTAAACTCGGTATCCAAAAGAAATTGGATTAATTTTATAGGATTTTGTTAAGTATGTTTAAAATGAATAAATTTACTAAAAATAGAAAATGACTATTTTCTATAAGATCGACAAAAAAAGAGATTATATATACCAGGACAGAGAAAGTATTATTTTTAGTTCTCATATTCAAATTAAGGGTGAGTAAGTGAACCTATATATATATATATATTTAAAAAAAAATTATAATATCACATTTAATCCGATGCAATTCACACTAAATATACACATTTTTTGTTCCAATTCAAAATATTTTTTTTCTTCACAATTTTCATTTATCACATTCAAAATTATTCATTTCCTATTTTACTAAAAATAATTAAATACTAATAAAAAATACTTTTAACTTGTACTTAAATTATAAATATATTATTACAAGTGTTACAATTTTTGAGGAAAGAAAATGAAATTGTATTATTGATCATCAAAATAAGGAATATACACAATACAAAATAGATTTGATAGACTCAAATATAAGTAATCTACTACATTGATAAACCAAATCTAAATATAAATTTACTAAATCTCTTACACACTTCTACTAACGAATAAAATAATACAATACTACCTTTGTCCCATAAGAAATCAATTTCCAAGCACAGATTTCTTCTTTGCACCTTGCGTGTATAACCTCACATTGTCTATTTTTGTAAATGCTACACTTTTTCTGAGCGATGATATACGACTAAATGATCTACTTCAACTCATCGCTTGAAGAAAATACTATACATATTTCAAACTTTGGTGAATATTCATCAATAGAGTTGAACTTTGAGAAAAAATTTCGTAATTTTTTTTACTGCTATATGCACATAAAAAATTAAAATATTTTATTTCAATTGTTTAAATATTATTTATTCATGAACTTGAATTTGTGTTATATATACTACTCTTGCAGGCTTATGCATGTATTTTAAATGTTATCACCCCAAAGGTGAGAGCCGAGCCACTAGTCCGTATGTTCCCAGAGAGTTCAAAAACTTATCCACTTGGCAGACGAGCTATCGAATTCAATGATATCAAAAGTGTGCAAAATTTCACAGTTGAGCACGAAGAAATTTTATTAGTAACATACAATACTAACAAGGAAAGATTAGTCTTTTTTTTTTTTATTGATTTGTCTATATATAATATAATACTAATATTAAAAAGATTATGTTTGGACTTTTTGTTGAAATTTTAATGGTAAAAGTTTTGAATTGATATAAACAAATATTGAAGTTGATTTAATATTTTGAATTTGAAATTAATTTTTAATATAATATAAAAAATAAAAAATAAATACTTTATCCGTCTCATAATAAATGTTTTATTTCTATTTTTGTTCGTCCCAAACAAATGTATCAATTCATAATTTAGTAATTGTAGTACAAATATATTACAAAAATGTTATTACATTTTATAGTACATACTACTAATACATGTATTTTTGTCTTTTTTTTTACTATAATTAAATATAATACTAATACTCCCTCCGTCCCCGTGCAAGGCTGCCGTTTACTTTTTTGCACGTAGATTTTTGAATATTAGTATTATAATGAGTTGTAGTAAAAAAAATGAAAATACCCCTATTAGTATTGTTTAATATAAAAGTAATGACATTTGTGTAATATAGTGTAAATTGTAAGGGTATTTATTATGTTACATAGATAGTACAATTATTAAATTAGGAAATGGTAAACTTTTTTTGAGACAACAAAAAGGAAAATGGTAATTTTTTTAATGGGACAAGGGAGTATTAAAAATCTATATGAAAAAAATAAATATTACTCTTTATATGAGGCAAAAAGAGTATTTAATTTGATATTTTAAAAAATAATTGAATAAATTACTAAAAATACGAGGGTGTGTTTGTTTGTTGTTTTTAGTTTTTGAGTTTGAATTTTTGAATAGTAAAAAGTTGAATTTGAATAATTGTTTGATGTGATATAAATATAAGTTATGTGATATTTTGAATGTAAAATAAATTTATACTAATATAATAAAAAAATTGTTTGATGTGAAATTTTTTGAGAAAAAAAAAAATCTAAATAGTAAAAATACGTGTAAAATCGAACACAACCTGAGTAAATTTGAGATGTATTGTTTTTATAAAAACAATGCATTAATTCTTTAAAAAAAAATATATATATTCCATAATTTTCTCACCCTTATGAAATAACACACCCTGTATTTCATACGGTTTCGGGGTTGAATCCAGTAACATCCCTTTGTTCTTGTTCATTAACATTCCGATTCAGCGTTTTGTCAATCTAGGGCAGGGCAGTACTAATTTTGATCTGCGTCTGTGAATGGAAGAGCTACAAAAGTTGCAGCAACTGCAGACGACAATGGAATGGCTGCATTCAGCTGGAATTTCCGACGCCAACTCCGATTGCCAACGCTTTCTCGCCGATTTTACTACCCTTTTGGTACTAACCTTCTTACCTCTCCCCCCTCGATTATGTCTGTCATTCAATTGCGTTGGAGTTCAGAGTTTTGATAATAGGCGACAGTTCTTGTTTTGCAATACGACGTTTGGTTACTCACCTTTTTTCCTAGTTGAAATTAAACAGTTAGTTTCAGCAGTTGAGCGTGTGAGTTTCTCTTTAGACATCTGAGAGGAAGCGGACTTTTATGCTGCGTTTTGATTCAATTTTAACTCCGATCATTTCTTTATTGTATTCTATTCAATTATTCTGAAGTTTCGAAAATTTGATGAAGATGCACGACTATGGTACGCTGGATATTGCATCCAAATGCGGGTTGATTTCCAAGAACATGTCAAAGGTTTGATCAATTTCTATTCACAGAACTTCTAATGTTTTATGATTTTGAGGATTTTGGAGTGGGAATTACTATGACTCTTCTTTTCCTTAGATATCAAGTTTAATTATTGGGGGTGCGCTGCAAGGTGGAGGGGAAGGTATGGGCAGTGTAGTTTCTGTACCACAATTAAGCTTATCACTAATTGTTTTTCTTGATTGTTTTTTTTTCGGTCAATGTATAGTTTCTTGCTTATAGCTTGACATGTTTCTGTTAATGGTGGCTATGGAAAATGATGTAAGAAATGATCTAATTAAACTCATTACAGGGTTTCTCACCCCTTGTTTGAGATAATTCTACACAACAGTACTGAAACTTGGGAGAGGAACTTTCTCAATGTGTGTTTTGGTTATATGTTTGATCAAACATCTTCATATTCTGTCATATAGTTTTCATTTTTTTTTTGGCAGCTTACATCTGACTATTAGGGTGTGTTTGTTTGAAGGATTTTGGTGGATTTCCACTATTCATCCAATTTTTTTCCCCCAAAAATATCAAATCAAACACCTATTTTTCATTTTTTATATTATACTAAAAATCAATTTTACATTCAAAACATCACATCAAACCCTATTTATATCACATCATACAACTATTCAAATTCAAAATTTTTACTATTCAAATCCCAACTCAAAATCCAAACCCCCAATCAAACACACCATAATTGTATCATGATGTTGATAAGAGTGCAGTTAGGCATCTGATAATAGGAGTTGCTGTCATGTATAAACTTACATTAATGAGTATGTGGGTTGCTTTCAAGGTGACAACCCACAATTAATTGGAACAAGTCATTATAAGAAATAGTGATGGTATACTAAAACTGCAGGTTTTGAAATACACCATTGTGATGTGTTAGTTGAATACGAAATAGACCATATTGCATTTCAAAAGTTTTGATACACTGGCATTGTCCAAGATATGGGGAAAAAAAATTCTAAAATATTACTGTTCCTTTTTGTAAAACTGAGAATTTGTAGGTGACAGCCAGATTGGAAACTCTGTACACCTCCATTCTGATGAAAAGGTAAATCCCAATCAGATGCAGAGATTCTTTGTTGAAGTGCCTATGGTTGGAATAGATGCGATGATGCGATCAAATTCAACTCTGGAGGATTTTGTAAGTAGTGCTAACACTGATGTTTTTGTTCTTTGTTAATAATGTTTCGAGGAGTTTATTTTGTTTAAACTTGCTTTAACTACTATACATGCTATAGATTATACCATTATATATAAAATTGTAATGAGTTTAATTCTGTTATCTGATATTTGAATCTTGGCAAGTATATGTTAATGGCCTAGGAATAGGATCAGTGTTAGAATTAGTGTTCAACATTAATTCTCTTTTTCCCTTCATTTTCCCCAGACATGGTATCAATGCAGAATGCATCCGGACTTTGCCCTGCATTGCTTATTCCTTCTCTTTTCTTCAATTAATCCATCCCCACCCACCACCTTTATAGCTGATTGATTGTGCTTTCCAAACCAGTGTTGTTTGGTAACCATGTTTCCACCATTTGTGTTTCTGGAATCCTCTTCATGTGTCGGAAATTGTAACATTGCGGTCGGCTCAAACCGGAGTATCACTGCCACACCACACCGGAAAGCTCGTTTATTAACTAACGAACCTCACATTATATAGTGCTAAGACTAAATTGCCCAACACAAGCAGTTCAATAAAAACTTAAAAGATAAAGCGTACCGGCTTATCATATAAATAAATAAGGTTTGAGTAAAAAATATGAGCCGAAATTTAGTTCACAAAGCATGAATTCTTAAAACATTAGTTATAAATTCAAAAGCATCCTAAGTGATAGATAATTCTATTTCCCACTAATGAATCATACGATGTGGATGCATCATTTAAAGTTAGCGGGAGCACATCACCTATAAATATTTGTAGAAAGAAGATCAACACAACGGTTGAGTAAGCACAATGAATCAAAGATAAATTAATATAGTATATGCCAAAACTCACATGTAAATCCCACAAAATCATTTGGAAGAGATAAGTTAAATGAAATTGCACATAACACATATTGACAACTCAGGCACAAGTCTTTGTGTCTCATTTTCACTCTTTTATTCTGAAATGATAGTGATGAACACTTCACGAAGAAAACTCACACAAATACACATAGCAAATAGAGGGTCACAACCCTCAAGGAACTCCACTATTGATGCGTATGGGTTCGAGACCCAAAGTACACGTATGACAACCTATTTATTAGTTTACGATAGACAAAAATGGCCAAACCCTCTAGTCTCATACATCACAATACCACGAGGGGATTGTACACAATCCATCCCTCCATCACAGATGACGGTCTAAAGACCATTTCATAGTGGATGACATGCACCTCGGAATCACCCAAAATGGAACCCATTATCTTGATGCCACGACTTAGCCTATTCGAGATCTAGTTCGAGGTTAGCTAGTTATCCTAAAATAATGGTATACCCTAATGTGTTCACAAGGTACAGATGTGGAAGACTACGCCTTATCATCCTATACGATCGATAAGTTGATTGGACTCGACGAGTAATTTCAATTAACAATTTAACCGAATACCCAACATGCGATTAGACAAATCGTAATAAAATGGTTTTCAACTCGAAACATCCCATTTACAAATATTTAGCTAACTAACCAATATAGCATTGACCAAAGGTTATGCTTTGCAACATAAGCGAAAACTAAAGTTCTCAAGTTTGCTCATAAAACACTTTTCACTTATCAACATTTTCATTTAATAGCTAAACAAGAATGAAAATATTAAATTCCAATGAGTTCATCAAAATCTCATGTTATTTTGCCGAACAACCATTTGGACAATATGTGCATTCCAAAAATCGACATGATTTAACCTAAAAAATCATCCAAAAGTCATAAACTAGGTTAGGTTTAACCCATTTCACAAACCCTTCATTTTTCAACTTGAAACACCGTAATAATTTCCACAAAAACTCTAAAGAACATCCTAAGGGGCTTTGTCTTCGGTTTCATTGTTTGTTGTTTTGTGTGGTTCAATAATACACCTAAGCTTCGTCATGGTCATGGATAGATCACCCAGGTTCGGTTCCATAAGTAGTGTCAAATCGCCTATTGAGTCCGTTCAAAAGAGGTAAAGTCTATCAAATCATAAACAATTAATATTAATTAGCAATTCAAAATTTTTTCTTTCGAAATGCTCGGTTTCCATTTCGGTTGTAAGTGCAGCAATTCCCACTCATCTGATCATTCCCTCGCTGGCCCGCATGTGTGTATGAAATTAATAATAGCTTGCAAGTTTTGTACTAGTATTTAAAATATTAGTTGATATTCAAAAGATGAATTAAGTTATTGGGTAAATTATATAATATCTGCTTGTATTTTAGTAAAAATGTACTAAATACTTCGTGTTCTATTTATTGCATGAAACCCCCTTGTGTTAAATTAAAATTTGCACAAAACACCCTATTCGTCTAGAGTTGATATTTGGTTGTAAATACAAACCTAATTATGTAAGTTATATACAAATAAAAGAGGTAAATATATTAAATAGTCTTGTTTGAATAAAATAAATAAATAATAAAGAATTGCTTATTTCTTTATTTTATAATTTTTTGGAGATAAACCGTTATATGATTTTTACAAAAACTATAAAAATGAAGGATTGATTATTTATTTATTTTATTCAAAAAAACTATTTAAGATATATTACGTTTTTATTTGTATAAAATTTGCGTATTTACATTCAAACATCATCTTTGGACGAATAGGGTATTTTGTACAAACTTTGATTTAACACAATGAGGTTTCATGCAATACATAAAACACGAGTTGTTTTGTGTATTTTTACGAAAACACAAAGGACTCTTATATAATTTACCCTAAGCTAACCAACCCCGATCCTTTTACCCATTAAGGCAATATTTCTATGTTGGCTCAAATCGAGCTCCCCAATCGTACTTCTTTATAGCATTGTTGTCAGCTCTGAAACCGCAGTTCAAAAAGGAATATCAAAAATTTGAGTGACCAAATAGGATCGTCTAATTCCTATAGAACTTATCACTAAAATCCCCTTCTTCCTAATGGACTACGAGGACCCTAGCTCTATTTCTATAGCCGAACGTGCGGGAAAGATTAGTTCGATAGATACTAACAAGATCCTTTTCTTGGGCAATGGAGAACTGAAAACTTAATATTGCTATCACAAGAATTGAAAAACCTTATGAAAACCATAATATTATTGCAGAATTTATAGTTTGGTTACGTTTTATTCATGAAATGACTTGGATTGGTATTAGTATGGATACGGAAATGGCGAAAGCCTGACGGAGTGATGCTGCGTGGAGGTAGAAGGCCCACGGGTCGTGAACTTCTTTTCCCGGAGCAAGTGCAATGTGAATATCTCCACCCCAAGAGATACGCACGCAAGATGCCATGTCAGTCTTTAAAATTAAAAAAAAAGTAAAAAAATCTCATGGGTATCTCTACAAAGATACCCACGAGATGTGTACTTTTTTGCTTTATTTTATTTTTAAATATTTATATTTATATTTTTATATTATACTCACTCCGTCCGCCTCTAAGAATCAAATTTACCTTTTGCGTCATTGTACTTTAACATTAAAAATATCCTTATATTTGTATAAGTTTTTGTACAAATGTTCTTCTATTAGTATTATAAGATACTAATGAAAGTATTTTTGTAATTTTTTCTTAATTTGTACTACATTTTTGTTAGTAATTTTGGGTGAAAATAATGAGATTTTGTTATTGATCATCAAAATAAAGAGCCTATATATAGGCAATACAAAAGGGACTTGATCAAATCTAAGTAATCTAATCTATGGATAAAACCATATCTAAATATAAATCTACTAAATTTAAAATTGAATATCTAAAATATCTTAACATCCTCCCACAAACTCAAGAGGTATAACAGAAACCAACTTGAGTTTGATAAAAAAGTTGAATACGAACGCAAAAGACGCAAATAAAAATCAGTTGCTTGTCTGCCGTTTTCGTCGCTACTCTACTGTGTCAAAGTCAGAAATAATGCTCTAAACTGAATTAGAGTAAAAAATTACATAACTCACAATGGAGTCGAAAACGACATGACTCTCTACTGGAGCCGAAAATAACATGACTCTCTACGGGAGCTGGACTTTCTACTGGAGCCGAAAATGACGGGAGTACTCTCCACAAAGTCGGAAATAATGGGACTCTCATTGCATTCAGAAACATGGCTCTGGAGAAACGTAGCAGACGGAGCGCAGAATCGCAGACAGATGTACATGCATGGCTTCAATCGTAAACTAGATCATGACTCAAAACATAATTAAAATCGGAAACAAAAAGACTAGAAACCGTGGGCAAAATCTCAAAATTGGAAAACTTCCGGGTACATCCCAGGTTAAATGTATTCGAAGAAATGCAGGTGCTAGGCTATATCTGCGGCATGAGAAAAGTAGGCTTTGATACCATGTTAGAAATTTTGGAGGAAAATAATGAGATTTTCTTATTGATCTTCAAAATAAAAGATTTATATAGAGACAATACAAAACAGATTCGATAAACTCAAATGTAAGTAATGTAATTTATGGATAAGACCAAATCTAAATATAAATCTACTAAATCTAAAACTGAAAATAGCTCAACAGTTTTAATATAATAATTAATATTCAAAGATCAACATGCAAAAAGTAAATGAGACCCTTAGGGTCGGACGAAGGTATATAAAATTTTATTCTTTATATAATGATATGTATATTAATATATTTTTTTGAAATTTTAATTTTAGAATAAATAATTTTGATATAAATATAAATATTTATGTATTTTTTGTTGAGTTGGAAGTATGAGTGGTGTGGAAGAAAAAGAGTATTATTGTGTATGTGAGGAGATACTTTTAACAAATATCTTGTTGTAAGTGCTCTAATCAATTTTCTAAAAAAAATAGCAAAATCTAACACTTAACAAGCCTATATATTTAACTAAGATTCATCCTATTTACTTTAGAAAAAGGGACCAAGAAGATAGGAGAAGAAGAGAGAGCTGAGCGGCGGCTAGAGCTGGTGGAACACGCGGGAAGTGATCTCCAAACTCACCGATCTCTATTTCCTTGAATAAAATAGACATGGGCCTATTTTTTTATAATCCTTTTGGGCCCAAAATGATCCAAAACCCAATTTACCTCCCAATTCTAACTCAATTATCCAATTCTTACATCAAAAGCCAAAATAAATTAAATTCCAAAAAAAAATTGTCCGACTCTGGTTCCGATTTTGGCAAGTTTCGACGAACTTCCGACAATTATTTTATGGGGTATTACATGTTCCTCTCTTAGTAGTACATTTTGTTCTCAAAATCAATCTGCACGCCAGGAGCTACTTTAAACAATTCCGGATACTTTTATCGCATTTGTTGTAGGAATCAAGAGTGAGATTAAACAAAAAATGATATTGCAATCAATTGTAGTGTGAGGAAGCGGAAAAAAATACACTCAACATGAAAAATCTTCCCACCCCGTCCAAATCCAGCCATGGTTGACGGTGCATGAAGATGATTCCGGTGATGGTAATGGTTGGTTGCCAAAGTATGTGGGTTTGGGAAGTAAAGTCTATTGGACGATTACTGTGGTAAGGAAAGGTTAATTGAAAAAGAAATCATGTGGACTAAGATATTGGTTTAAGAACAAGATTGTTCTCCGTGTTTTGATACCATGTGAAAATAGAAAAAAAGTAAAAAAAGCAAAAAATTCATTATTGTTTATTCGATTATTTAATATATAATATTCCTTCCGTCATTCAATTGTATGCTCAAATATTTGGGTAAGTATTTTGGTAAAAATGAGTAATAATTGTTACGTTATCTTTTGTAATAAAAAATAAAAAAAGTAATGTATTGTTTTTGCTAAAAAGTAAACAAATACATTTTTTTTATGACAATCCAAAAAAAAAGGTAAGCATAGATTTAGATGACGGAGGGACTACATAAGTTTTTGATTTATAGAAAATCTAAGTAGAGATTAGAAGAACAAACCGGAAAACCTACCAACAAGTAAATCACACAACCTAGTAAATCACCAACCAATAAATGTCTCTAAACAATATCAAACATAAAACTATTATTGAAAACCTTTTGTCATACCAAGTTTTGGACTAAGTACCTTGGATGCTTTAAATACTTTCTTGGTATTGAAGTTGCTTCCTTCAAAATGGGCATTTGTTTATCCAAGAGAAAGTATGATATTGATCTTTTGTTAGTAACCATGCTACTTGGGGAAAAATGATAGATAGTTCTATCGTCTATGGACTCCAAATGTTAAACTTGTAGCAGAAAAGAGGAAAATGATCGAAAGATCTAGAAAGTATTGCAATTTTGTTGACAAATTGAATAATCTTATTGTTACTCGTTAAAATATTGCTTTTGCCATAAGTATTGTCAAGTCAATTTATGGCATCACCTTGAACCTTGGAATATGCAAAGTAGCGCGGAACATGTGAACTAATTTCGCAAAAGAATCTTCTTATTGAAATTAATTTTCAAGATCCATCTTTAACGGAACTCATATGTGACAATCAAGTGACATTTACTATTGCCTCTAATCTTGAAGGAAAAAACTAAATACATTAAAGTGAATTTACATTTTGTTTGTGAAAAATCAAGATCTCATTCTAGTTCCTTACATCCAGTCTTAAGACCAACTTGCTAATCTAATGAAGGCCTTGGGTGGATTACTAGTGCGCTACATTTGTTATAAGCTTGGAGCTTATGATATGAATGACTCAACATGAGAGGGAGTGTTATATTAATTAGCATAAATTAAGTGTTAGATACAGTGTTAAACATTAATTTTTGTTTGTTCATTTTGTCTCCCCCAACCCTCCGATTCCTTTCCATCTCTTGATCGCACCAATAGATATCTATATACACTCATGTATTGCTATTGTCAACAATCAATTTAAGTAAATTTACTTTCTCGTTGTTTTCTCTCAACAAGTTTTGTATTGGAAACTTGATACTCGTAGAACATATTCCAAATTCATTCTCCATTTTGTAGGACCTTCAATGATAACCTGTCTATACATCTCTTTTGTGGTATTTACATTTGTACTCAAAATCATCAATGGCTTTGATGTTTTGTTGTTTCACACTGGCAGTGCAGGTCATATTTTATGTTTCACAAAATGGAAGCAAACTGTGCACAATCAATTTTCAAATATTTACCCATTCTCTCATTCACAGAAAGCTTTATTTATCAGGTGAATTGTCTTATATAATTAGTTCTCTAGCTGATGACAACTAGAGGCTTTTATGATGATACTATGGACTATAATGTATGCAAATCAATATGTTCATTCCTATAAACCCGTGTGAAAACTTAGTTGCCTATATTTCATTATTTAGGACACATTATTACCTTCTGTGTTGCTTCACCAGTCTTTGTTTCTAAACTAGGAGCTTTGCTGCCGTACTATCTGGACTGTTGTTATTTAGTGAGCTACATGATTGTAATTCATTCTTGGATTTTATTTTATTCTATTTGTACAGTTGGACGGTTTAAATGAGAAACTACTGCAGTCGTCGAAGAGTGAAGTTCAATTATTCAGCAAGGACTTCAAGGTGATGTTGATCCTTGATGGACAATATTTTTCAAACTACTATCCGGTGTTTCCAATTATTTACTATTTTTTCTTTAATACCAGGATGATGATTCGTGCCTTGATTCTATTTCTTTATGCAAATTTGGAAAATATCCATTCGGTTCACTCATTAATGTTTTAGAAAGTCACGGGCTTTTGACAGAAAGGTTTGCTATGTTATTTAGCATCTATTACGTATTTATACTTACATTATACATAAAACTACTTCCAATGTCAGCCTTTTTTTTTTTTTTTCAATTATTTTATATTGTTTTCTTTTTATTAAGAATTTCGAAAGAGCTGAACTGCGGAGTAGAATATTGGGCTCTAGAAAGAAAGCTATGCCATGCCCTTGCAAATGACAAGGAGGTACACTTTTGTATCATTTCCTTCCTAGTCAAAATCTCAAATATATTTCTTTGTTTTTAATTTCTCAGATTTGGAACTTCTGTAATCAGCAACAAATCCATTTTCTATAAGAATAATCTAAAAGTCCTGCAAAACCCCAACTCATTTTCTTTAATGTTTAGAAGAATTTAAAAGTGACTATTGATTGATTCAATGTGATGAGACATTCATTACATTAAAATATTTTACTTTTGATATTCATCTTTCCTCTTCTGGTTCCAATTAAACATGCTTTTGGTGTAGATATCCATTCAAGATGTGACAAATGCAATACATTTGAAGTCATTTGATTATCGCGTTCTGAACCTTCTACTATACCAATTGAGAGGAGACAAGGTATCTGCCAACTTTGTTGCATACTTTGTTGGCAAACTATTATTTTAATTTTGCACTTATAGAGATGATATCTTCTATCATTCCGGTATAAGATCTTAGATGCATGTGCAACATACATAATCCTTTGTAACAATCATTTATATAAGCCCTTGTACATGTCAAATATTGTTTTTTATTTGTTAACATAATTAAATGCAATGTAATTATTGTAATTAGATATTCTTCTTTTTTTGTTAACATAATTAGATAATTATATAATTATTGTAAATTGTAATTAGAGTATTTTTAGTAGTTGTATATTTGCTTTGGATAACCTTGATTTCCGGTCAAAGTTAGAGGCCTCCACACTAGTATATATAGGTGTAACATCTTTTTGATAAGAAATAGAATTTTTTTTTAGCATTTTTCTTTTCTTTTTTTTTTTTGTATTATTTTTTTATTTTGTCATAGTACCAGAGTCAAAAACACTGAGATCTCGTTTCATGTTGAGCCTTGAGCCCTGTTTCTTGTCATTCTTCAAGATCTTAGTTCTTGTTCTTGTTTAAAACATGTCTTTGGAACGACTTGAAATTTTTTTTGTCCGATTTAATGGCAAGAACTATTATGCCTGCTCATTCCAATTTTAAATCTTTGTCACGGGAAAAGAGCTGTGGAGTCATATTGATGGGACAAATCCAACACCCAACCGAGAAACAGAGAAAGATAAATATGTAAGATGGGAGGTGAAGGATGCCCAAATCATGTCTTGGATCCTTGGAAGTGTGAAACCCTCCATACTTCTCAATCTCAAGCCCTATAAGACCTCTAGAGAGATGTGAAATTGCATGAAGAAAGTTTACAATCAAAGCACATGAGAGAAGTAAACATTCTTCTTAATCGGTTAAGTGTGCTTTCTTGGGATATGCTGGAACGCAAAAAGGGTTTCTTTGTTATGATCCTCACATTTGTCAAACTCGTGTTTCTAAGAATGTAGTTTTCTTTGAGAATAAACTATTCTTTAGCTCACACCGAATTTCAAAATCTTCTTCTCTGTCAATTCTACCGGATTTTCCTGAGTCACCTACACTTGTACGGAGGTTTAAACTGGTTCATGTTAATCATAGATGTCTTTCTCCTACATCTGATCCTCCTACAGGTCCCTATATCACCTCTCGCGACATCTGACCCCTTCCTCTTCGTAGGAGCTCTAGACCTCGCATACCAGTTGAGAGGTATGATTTTTCAAACCTTTATGGATGAGAACAGTTCTTGCTATAGCATCATCTAGATGTTAGCCTCTACATCAAATGTATGTGAAAAATGCTTTCTTGAATGGGGACCTCAAAGAAGAGATCTACATGAGACTTCCACCTGGTAGATAGTGACAACTTCTCTTGAGGTTTGTAGGCTAAGACGTTCTTTGTATGGACTAAACTAGGTGCCAAGAGCTTGGTTTGAAAAGTTTCGCGACACTCTTCTCCAATTTTCTTTCTCACAGAGTGTATATAATTCATCACTATTATTTCACAAGTTAGCCATGAGTATGGTCTTTCTCTTGACGATATTAGCAATTATCATCACTGGTAGTGATGATAAGCTGATCACTAAGCCTCAAAACATGCTACATGGGAAATTAAATTAAAGGATGTTGGGCATCTTCCATATTTTTTAGGGCTGGAAGTTATCATGATCTGTTTTTGAATCAAGATAAATACATCTAAGACCTCATTACGCTAGATGGATTAAAGGGTGCTACTGCTGTTGATACGCCAATAGAGTTGAATGTGAAATTTTGGAAAGATATGGGAGAGCTTTTTCCTGATCCTTTCTTATATAGACATCTTGTTGGTAGTCTTATCTACTTAACGATTACTAGGTCTGATATCTCATATGCTGTCCACATAGTTAGCAGGTTTATGTAATCTCCTCGCCATCTTCATCTTGCAGCATTTCTTCGCATCATTCGTTATCTAATTGGATCACCGACTCGGGTGTTATTTTTCCCTGAAAATTCGACTCTTCATTTGACTGCACAGTGATGCAGATTGGGCTGGCTGCCCAGACACACAAAAGACTACTACAGGTAGGTGCATTTTTCTTGGAGATGCATTGATTTCTTGGAAGTGTATAAAGCAAGACCGTGTCTCTAAATCTTCTATAGAGGCATGTCAGCCGTTTGATCTGAAATTTGTGGTTAAGAAGACTTCTTTTTTAACTTGGATTTTCTTCAAGTGGTCGTAATCCATTCATGGTGATAATACTAGCACAATTCACATAGCTGGAAATCCAGTCTATCATGAATGCACAAAGCACATAGAGGTGGACAAACATCCAGAAGGCCTTTACTCGGATTGTTATCACTCTTCCCCATCTCACCACTGATCTTCAGATTGCTCATGTCTTCAAGAAGGCTTTGACATGCCAAAGACATGTTTCTATGTGGTAAATTGTTGCTAGTGGATTCCCCAACATCAATTTGAGGGGGTATGACAAGTATTCTTCTTTATTTGTTAACATAATTAGATGATTATGCAATTAGATATTCTTCTTTATTTGTTAGTATAACGAGATGATTATGTAACTATAGTATTTTTAGTAGTTGGATATCTAATTTGGGTAACTTTGATTTTTGGTCAACATTAGAGGCCTCTACACTTGTATATATAGGTGTACCATCTTTTTGATAAGAAATAGAAAAATTTCAAGCATTTTTCTTTCCTTATTTTGTCAGTACAAACTTGTAACCAATTTACTATGGGGCTGATCAACAATGCACGATGCATTAATTCTTTGTTAGACACAACATAAATTGATTATGAAGAAATGACACAATGAGTACGGCGACATTGTCTGAGTGACTGTACAGACTAATTTATGCTTTGGAAATTAGTTTGTTTACTGTTGCATGTTTATTTACTTTGCTGGAGTTATCTTGAAGGTAAATGAACTACATATGGAGTTTTTGTCTGCATCGGAATTGCTTGTGGAAGTATCGGATGACCTGTGAGTATGATTCTTACTACATTTGTTAAATGTTGTAACCATCATATTATCCATTCCTGAGTCCGTAAATTCTCCACTAATGTGTTGATTAGAAACTGAAAATGACTAATGAAAGAAGTGAGAAATTTGCCTGTTTGGATTTGCAATATCATACCCTTAGTTTCATAGTGTGTTCATTTACGATCTCATTTATTACAATGTGTTTCTTTCCATTATGCCCGTGGAACCATGAAATAATTCCTTATTGATGGACTTCTGGATGACGCAAACAGGTTCGATTATGAGGTGCGTCATTCTTCCCTATTTTAGGTTAGTTTCTTCTTCCATAGATGACTAAAACTTATTATTATTTTGGTAGGATGATGTTGTCGATAATAATTTCAACATTCTACGCATGTTTATCAAATATTACGGAGCTATAGATGCACCTATCATGTTGGTAAGTGTTGCATTCTCTTAAAACCTCTTAATGATTTGACAAATGAAAGTACCGACTCCAAGCATTCTTTGTAGGCACAATTTATAACTAACGTAGAGAAAAGATACAATCAGTTATTGATAGAATTAGATTCGGAACTTTCTGCCAAGTACCAGAAGAGATGTGAAGAAGCTACAAGAGAAGGTAAAATGCTACATCCTTATATGCCATATCTTCATTATTGTCGAACTTTACATGTGACAGTTTGGATGCTGTCTTTCTAAAATTTGAACTGAATTTGATGAAGGTGGAAAAATGCACGGCCCTTCCCTTGGAACATGGCATATACCACCAATCATTGCAGATGAAGCTGGATATCGCGCTGCTTTTTCAGGTTCTAGTCGGTAGATTTTGTGCCCGAATTGGATGAAATTGTTACTAAGGTTGTCACATTGCCCTTTTGCCATGGTGACAAAATAACGAACACAAGGTACTGGTATACAAAATTATATATATTTCTCCCTCTGTCCGGCTCTAAGGGTCCTATTTACCTTTTGTGTCATTGTACTTAATCTTAATAATATCATTATATTTGTATAATTTTTTGCATAAATATCATTATAATAGTATTATAAGACACTAATAGAAATATTTTTGCCATTTTCTCTTAATTTGTACTAAGTTTTCATATAATAATTAATATTCAAAGATCAACTCGCAAAAAGTAAATGAGACACTTAGAGCCGGACGGAGGTAGTATATCTTATAAGTATTAAATTATCACATTTTTATTTAACTTCATAGTCTCATGTGTTTCAAAATCACGACATAGAATTTACTATCATAAGAAACGTATAACATCAATCGTGAAACATATCAAAATGCTAAAATAAATATTCTATAAGCAACATCAATCTTAATGAGTAAATGTCTTTAGTTCAATCTTACACTAGGAACATGAGTCAAATTAGCATCAAAGTATACTAATGTTGAGGACGAGGTTCTTTTGGGAGGGCGGGTGATGATTTATTTTGAAAGAATTATTTTACTTTTGATTTGAATACAGTAAACATGAATTAAAGAGTTGCGTTATTGTTAAAAAAAATATATTCATCAAATAGTAAGATTTTTCATATTAATCGGTAAGTGCCGCGTCGAACTCAGAGAATTAATGTGAGGAAAAACTTAAGTTGAATAATAATGCTAGTTTATGAAATCAGATTTGAAATTTAAATGCGTCGACAAAAAGAATTTAGATTGTAAGAATTTAAAGAATGGAACAAATGTGATGATAAGGAATGTGAAAGATGATCACTAATCACGGGGATGGTGATGGATGAAGTGCTTAACGGTGTGTGGAGAGATAGAAGTATACGGTTGTGAGATAAAGAGAATGATGTTGAGTGAGTGAAGTGAAAGAGTAATTGCAATACATGTACATACTTCATATAGTAGAATGCTAAGTGTAAGTGAGCACACAAGACTTTATCCCTAAGCGTGTCGCTTTTATAATAGTTTACTTGACCTAGAGGTGATTGTGGAAAGACAAACTAATCTTAACTATTGGGCTAATGATTTATTTTTGAATTCATTATTAAGGGTTTATATATATATATATCCAATTATCACTTTATTTTTTATTTATTTTGCAGCAAAATATATTTTGTATGTTTCAAAAATCGTATTTTCCAAATGCTAGATATTTATAATTGACGCATGTAGGACAATGTTCTATTTTCAGAGCATCTGCAATGACATTTAGTAAAAAATGTCTCCCTTAGTTGAGTTGGCACCGGCGTGTTTTCTCTTTTTTTTTTTTTTTGACACAAATCATTTAAAAAAATAGACACAATGGTTTATGAAAAATGAATGAGATTTACAGGCTTGGGCTTGGCCTCATCTGCACCAGCATGCTCCCAAGTTGCCGCGATGTTTCATACACAAAAATGAAGCTATTGCGTGGTTTTTTTTTTTTTTTATCAAAAAAGTGAAAAAAGTCTGTATCAGAAGGAGAAGCCTTCTATTAATAGACCATTGTTGTTGCTCTGAGGTTCTAAGTCCACATGGCATGAGGTGAGTGCTACTTTCAAATTTTACAATTTCTATGTACTATCTCTCTCTATATATGTGTATATATTACTTCTAGTTTTTGTACCTTTTGATATATTATTTTCTTTTCTTTTTTTCTTCTTTCCTTTTGGTTTTTTTTTTTTTTTTTTTTTTTTTAATTCTACAATTAATTGTCTAATTCAAGTTTTTTTAGTAATTTCAAAATTTAAAGTTTCAACAAAATATTTATATTTATAATTTTTTTATTTTGTGTTTGCATATACCACTGTATTGCTTTATTTAATATTTTTATATATGTATATACTACCTCCGTTCACAACTAATCTATCCATTTGTATTTGACGTCATTGTTTTTAACATTAAAAATATTCTTATATTTGTATAATTTTTTGTACAAATATCATTATATTAGTATTATAAGACATCAATAGAAATATTTTTGTCGTTTTTCCTTAATTTGTACTATATTTTGATATAATAATTAATATTCAAAGATTAACGTGCAAAAGTAAATGGATAGACGGAGGTAGTATTATTTTCTATAAGTGTTCATAGATCACAGGTTTATTTATATTTTTGAATATTTTTGTATTAATAGTTTAAAAATATCTTATTTACCAATTAAAATTAAATTGCATAATTTTTTAAAATTTTTATTTAAGAATCTAATATATCTATAAAAATTTATAATTTTAATATGTAAATTAGTCTAAAAATTTTACAGTAATTTTAAAAAATTAGTAAAATATTTATAAATTTTGTAATATTTTTATTTATGTTTGAATAGAAGTATTGAAATTGTAAAGATCACTCACATATGAATTAAGGTAAATTTGCCTATAACCCACCCAGGGTTTGGAAACTCCGCGAAATTCTCCTTTGTGCTTTAAAAATTAAGTGACATCCTCTCATGCTTTCTAGAATTAAGCAGAGTTTCCAAACCACAAATGGATTAGACAATTCTGCCTAAATTTATTTATTTATTTTTCTTTAAGATCTATTTATTATTAAATCCCAAACGCGCACATATATATACATATATATATTTTAATTTAATATAATTTTTTTCCAAATTTAGTATCATTATAATTTAATTTAATTTTCATATAATAATTTTAAAATATATATTAATATTTCAAACACATTATATATATATTTATAATTATAGAAGATACTTATAAATAAAAAATAAAAAATAGATTTAATAAATTTATTGCAAAATTACAAAAATTATGTAAATTTTTTTTTTTTCTTTATTTCACTAGCAAAATATATCCTACACATTCCAAAAGTTCGTATTTTTTGTACCTAGAGTCTAACACGTGGCCTTAAGACATTGCAGGGGGAGCAAAGTGAGTGAGATTGTATAGGACCTGAAAATCATGCTTGGTCCGGATACGAAAATTGTGACTTTTATGAATGTGCATGATATATTTTGCCAACAAAATAAATATGAAACATAATTGAGTATATACATATAGGATATCTTTTGTAATTTTCTCATATTTTTTTTTAACTATTTTTGCTCGTAATAATATATATGATGCTGACCTACAAGACTTTATTTTATAACTTAAAAGTTATGGATTGTTATCCAAATACTTCATTTGGTTATTGTATGTATTTTTGTATCACGCCGCATATAAAAAAAATACAATTTTCAGATTAAAATTATTGCACATTTATTCGAGAATTCCGGAAGATTGTGGCCCCTTAGTTTTCATGGGATAAATATATTAAATTTATTTTCAATATATAAATATAAAATTATTAAAAAAAATATTTATGGTTTGTCGCCGAAAAATTAATCAAGATTTTATCTAAAAAAATTTGAATATTACCGAATTTAGGAATAATTAGATTTAAAGATAAAATAACTTCATTAAATTTATTTTTCTGTACCAAAGGATTGCGGTCCTTTGTATTATGAGTTAATTAGAAAAGCGTGTCAATTCAAAAGACATGGATTAGATTTTATAAATAGGCATTTTATTAATTGGAAACTCAAATCCAACATCTCAATCAAAATTTTCATCCGGTTAAATTACTCAATCCTTTAAAAAGAAACCCCTTGGTTATCATCCGGTCAGAAATTTTTAACCCACATAAATATTTTAGCACACTTGGTGGGACCAAATTTGTTGCTCATAGAATATCATCCCGGATTCATTATATTAAGATCAGGAAGACTCGTCTGTCGTTCATGGCTCACTTCAAAGCAGTAATATTGCCAGAGGATACCAATGTTGTCCACACTAAATTTTCTGACTGCCGCCTCGACCAACATCCATTCCAAATGGATTCACAATTACTTGGGTGAAGATACTGGGGCCACATCATGGCCAGGAGGCTCCACACTTGGCCACACATGAAAGTACGATTGTGCTATCCTAAGAAATATGCTAGCAACTCATCCATAGTTTTTTGCCACCACCCAACGGATAAGTGTGAATGTGACTCCGCCCACTACCAAAATTGAAGGTGGTGTCGGGATGTATCAATACCGGCTGATTACCTCGGTCGATTTCATAAATCACGGTTAACAATGGTTGCATGCATTCGTGCTGCTATTTTCAGACGCCAACACCATCTAGACTTACAACGGACCACAAAGTATGGCGCAAACCCAAAGATACTATGCTCCAACTAACACCTATACACAACAAGCTGTATCCACAACCCCCTCCTCAACGACGGATCACACCACCATGTGTGCAATACAAAAACATTCTTGGAGCCGCATGGGGAAGCAACAACGTGCCCCATTTCAAAAGGGGAAGGCGTTGAGAGCAATTGCACCATTGGAGCTTATTCACTCAGATATTTGCGGGCCGATGAAGACAACGTCATTGGGTCATCATAGGTATTTTCTAACCTTCATTGATGATTATTCAAAAATGACATGGGTATATTTCTTGAAGGAGAAATCCGAGACATTTACAATCTTTAAAAGATTCAAAGCATTGGTTGAAAATCAAGGAGGGTGCCGGATCAAAACCATTCGATGTGACCGAGGAGGTGAATATACCTCTCAAGAGTTTGAATCTTATTGCAAAGATGAAGGAATTTGGAAACAACTCACAACCGGTTTATTCACCACAGAAAAATGGAGTAGCTGAAAGGAAAAATAGAATCATTTGCGAAATGGCAAGAACCATGCTGAATGAGAAGGAACTTCCAAATTTTTTTTGGGCTGTAGCAGTTGATACCGCAGTGTATATACTCAACCGATGTCCAACAAACCCTATGAAGTTTGGACAGGAATCGAGCCATCGGTGAGTCATTTTAAGATTTTTGGTTGCATTTGTTATGCTCACATTCCAGCTGAAAAGAGAACCAAATTTGATGAGAAGAGTAAAAAATGCATCTTTATTGGTTACTCGTCCAACACGAAAGGTTATCGTCTCTTGAATGTAAACACTAACAAGCTGATTGTTAGTAGAGACGTTATATTTCATGAAAATGCAGCTTGGGATTGGAAAGAAAAGAAAGTCCAGGGAATCAGCCATGGTCAAATTCCAACAAATAATTTCGAAGTGAAGGAGATCATTCAACACCATCATCTCCTATTGCAACACCGTCAAGTGAAGGGTAAACAATATCCTCATCTGAATCTCCTCCTTTGAAAATGAAAAGGTTGAACGACATCTATGAAAGTTGCAATTTTGTGATGACGGAACCTAAAAGCTTTGAGGAAGCTGTAAAGATTGAAGTCTGGAGAAATGACATGA